CCCCAAAACCCCAAAACCCCAAAACCCCGGCTAGCCATATTTAAGTTGACTGATTTAAATGATAAATTTGAATTGATAATTTAATAATTTAAAAATGGACTTAGACCCTATTAATTTTTCAGACGACTGCTTCCCAAGTTATGCCTCAGTTAAGCCTCATTAATCAGGTGAAGGAGGAGCAGTTGGTGCGAGCAAGAAAAGAAAGGATGCTGAGGTTAACACTGTCGAGCTTTACTACATGGAATAAGAGACGAATACTAAGACCAAGAAAAATGCAATTTCAGTAAGTAATATGCTATCCACAATACTATAATCAATTTTTCCCACACATGCATTATTTCATCAAATCTCAATCAAATGAAAGGATTGCTCATGTGCAATTCAGCTAATAATAGAGGTTATCACTTTATTGATATATAAAAATTATTGATAAAATCGATATTTTCAACTCTGAATTTTATAGATCCAAACAGACAGAGTGTTTCATTCAGCAGCAGTGGGCGATGATGAAGATGAAGCTTATTACGATGAAGATGAAAAACTATAGAAATAACTAAACTCTGGTCCTCCTTAGTATGACGAGAATGCTCTAGCTAAGTGGCTATCATCGATTTATCCTAAATTAAGCCAGCTACTTGAAGCTAATTTGACAAATAAAGCGTTTGACAACTATGAAGTATTCTGGGAAGAGGAAAGAGGAGAGGTAGAATTGTGGTAAAAGCTAACCACTAATTTCGACTTCAAGGAGATTAATAAGGCAACATAAAAAGCCATCAATTAAGTTAAAGCAGCTACCAACGAGGTGTAAAATGAAGCAGATGATGACTGGGAGGGTGGAAATCAAGGCAGATCAGTAGTTAACTCCACTGGATCATCTGAAAAGTATCAAGTTGTAAGTGTGGCATGGAGCTGTAACGGATCCACTCTGGCTATAGCATATGGAAGAACTAATCATACAACCTGGTGTGAGCATATTAGTGCAGTCAGCACCTGGGGTATATTCAGGAGAGAATTCGATGCTAAAAAACCAAATAAGACTATTGAAGTGAGTAATTGTCTGACTACTATCGAATTCCATCCTAGTGATCCTCTGATACTAGCAGGAGGTACCATTAATGGCGAAATATATCTTTGGAATATTGATAGTGAAGAGTCCTTGATATCCAATTCAGCTATTGATGAGTATTATCACAGAGAAGCTATAACTAGGCTAGCTTGGGTTAAGTATGAATCTCTAACATCCTTGGCTGTATCTTATTGCATCATGTCAGTGTCAACGGATGCAAAAATTCTGGTATGGAAGCTATCTGATAAACTTAGGTTTCCAGCAAAGGGTCATTTATTAGCAAGAAAGAGAGACGGAGAAATGGGTACAGTAGGAGGCACTAGTTTCGCTAAAGTAGGATATGGAGCTGGAGGTCAAGAGGATAGTACTTTTATAGTAGGCACTGAGGGAGGCTCTATATTCAAGTGCAATATACAATAACCTCTAGATAAAGATATAAGCCACTTCTTTGATAATACTTCAGGTGTCAGATGGAAACAGGAAGCAATAAATTTACTATCGAATCTTCCGAACAAAGCTATCATGGAAGTAAAGAAAAAGGTTGAGAGATATGTCCTAGATAAGGGGGAGAAAGATGTATGGGCACCTACAGTTTATCATGCAAAGCCAGATATCAAAATGTTATTCACTGTACCCTTCAATGCCAATTATGAAAGACATCTTGGTCCAGTTACATCTATCTCGGCGTCTCCATTTATCAAGAGAATTTTTGTTACTTCATCAACAGATGGCCAGCTTAGACTTTATGATACCCTGTCTAATAGACCAGTAGCTGTTTATGAGCCAGGGGGTTATGGCTCTGGTGAATACCTAATGGCAGTTGAATTTTCACCATTCAGACCTGCCGTTTTCGCTGCTGTTGGCAACTCAGGAAATGTATACATCTATGATCTTGCTTAGTCAAAATCCTCACCATCTTACATTCTAAGACATCAAGATGATTCAGTTTCACACTCTCTCCGTGTAGCACAGAGTCTTACTTTTAATCCAAGATAAAGAGACTTCCTGGCTGTGGGCTATCATGATGGAAATGCAAGAATATACAGGCTGAACTATTAATTAGCCAATGTGCAAAAGAATGAACTCAAAGTATTGCAAAGTTTCCTTGAAGAAAAGGGCACTGATTGATAATGTTAAGTTAATTATGGATTCACAATATTCAATTGTAACATCTTAATTAAATCAAATGGGGTTTTGGGGTTTTGGGGTTTTGGGG